TTAACTTTTCTACTTGTCTTGAGAATACCGGCGTCTTTTTTCTATGCAGAGCCTTTACCTATTTTTGCCTCCCAACAAACTGGACCAGCACCTACAGTCTTGTCCTGTGTTCCCCAGATATGTACCTCCTCCCAGGCAACAGATAGGTCCTGGTCCCCTTCACACTGGGTATATAAAAGCTCACTGCTCGCACTAAATCTTCTCATCATGTCTGATGACAGACATTATGTCTGTCTCAGAGATGATTTTTTTTTTTTTTTGAGACAGAGCCTCAAGCTGTCCCCCTGGGTAGAGTGCCATGGCATTACAGCTCACGGTAACCTCCAACTCCTGGGCTCAAGCGAGTCTCTTGCCTCCGCCTCCCAAGTAGCTGGGACCACAGGCGCCCGCCACAACGCCCGGCTATTTTTTGGTTGCAGCCATCATTGTTGTTTGGCGGGTCCGGGCTGGGGATTCAAACCCGCCACCTTAGGTGTACGTGGCTGGCGCCCTAGCCAGTTGAGCTATAGGCGCCGAGCCATCACTGCTCATACTTATCCCACTGTGGAAAGGGAGACATCACAGCAAGGGAGGCATCACAGCAAGTCATTGTACTTTTTGACAGAAGACCTATTTCTACACCAATAACTCTGGTCTGGTCTGAGAGGACGTCACCTAGCTTGAGGAACAAGCTGCTCACCTATGCTCTTAAAATAAGGGATCCTGGACCGACAGCCTAAATCTCCCTCCTCTTGGGGTTCCTCACTACAATCCTATTATTATTATTGTTGTTGTTATTATTATTTGAGACAGAGTCTCAAGCTGTAGCCATGGGTAGAGTGCTGTGGCATCACAGTTCACAGCAACCTCAAACTCTTGGTCTTAAGTATTCTCTTGCCTCAGCCTCCCAAGTAGCTGGGACTATAGGCACCTGCCACAATGCTCAGCTTTTTTGTTGTTGTTGCAGTTGTCATTGTTGTTTTAGCTGGCCCAGACTGGGTTCGAAACCGCCAGTCTCAGTGTATGTGGCTTGCACCCTATCCACTGAGCTATGGGCACTGCCCTGCAATCCTATTATTAACCATTGCTCTCTTATGCCATCCAATTCCTGTCTTCATTAATTCAAGACAGGGTAAAAAAGGTGTCAGCTGCAGTTACAACTCAATTCCTACTACTTCCCAAACCCTCTCCCAATCTACTCCAAAGTCACACAGCCCTACCAACACTGTACTCATCCCACTGTGGAAAACTACGAGAAACAATATACCATCATCTCCATCACCCTTTTAATAAAAGAGTTGGGAACTTCGGGGGCCTACATCCTTCCCCATCCTCCTTCTCCTCCTCCTGCCCTACCCCCTCCTCTTCTCCTCCTAGAACAAAAGGTCTACCTGGCCCTGCTCCAAGAGTTCCAGGAAAGACCACAGCCCACCAGAACCTTCCAGCAAGCTATAGCATCTTCCCCCTATGCCCAGTATAAAAATAAGCCTCCAATCATCCTTGGTGCAGACACCATCTTTGCCCAGGTGAATCTCTGTCCCCTTTCATTAAACTTAACCTGAACCTCTCCCCTGATCTTGTTTCTGGCTACATAGACGTGCACAGGCAAATGTGGGAAAATATTAACAACTGGAGAATGATTGAAGGATATTAAATTAAGTAAGCAGGAATCCATTAGCCTGAGGTTGTCTCCATTCCTTGAATTCCTACATAACAGAATGCAGTCTAATTTAGTACATAATCAAACTAGAATTTTTTTTTTGGTAACAAATAGCTGGATTTCAATCAATATAAACAGCCTAGTTTCAGCCAATCACAGGTAGCCAACTCTTCACATCATGCCCACATGAGGCAGATGCCTGGCTTAGCTGATCAGGTGAGTTCTCTGTCTTCACAGCGGGTATATAAAAGCTCACTGCTCACACTACAGGTGTAAAAAACCACCCATTCTGCTGCAGCAATTTACTTCTTAGGCCAGGTGACTCATTGTGCATCTACCAAAAGCCAGGCTGAGGAAACTGCCTGCCTGAAGCTCATTTCCAGATGCCTTTGATGGCAGGTTTCCCCACCCTGTACTGCTAGAGGACCCCCCAGGAGACCTGGCCAAGGGCCAAGCCCTACACTAGGCCCCCCAGGTTCTACTGAGCCTACCCACTGAAGGTCTGACAGGTTTGTCCACACCCCAGACCATGGACTCCAGCAGGAGGACAGAGCCACCCTCCTGCAGCCCCGAGGCTGTGCACAGCAGGCATCCACTACAAAGATCTCTGTGAGCAGACTTGGTTTGAGCTGCTCTGCAGCTGAGCACCGCCACTGCCTCCCCCAGACCTGAGCACCAAGAAGCCATGACATGCAGGAGCAAGGACAGGGTGGGGGCTGTGAGGCTCATGAAGAACATCTGACCCCAAAGGGCCAGTTGCAGGGGCCACTCAGAGTCCTACCTGACATAGGGACCCACCTGGGAGACCAGGGCTGGACAGCCCTTGCTCCTCCCACCATTTGGGTCACAGTGACCCCACAGGGGAAAGGCCATCCTCAGAGCCAGAAACACCTGCCCTTCCAGAGAAATCCTTCCGGCCTTTTGCCGTTGTGAGTGAGACTTTCTCTACGAAAGCCAAGTGGAGACAAGCTTCACACCAGGATGCAGTTGCCACAACCATTCACAAACTCCCTCCTTTTATTACGGTCTGTGCTGCGGTCTGAACATCAGTGGGATGGAAACCACGATCTCCATGCTGCCAGTGCATGAACTGTGAACTCAGGACACAGTTCCTTAAACCTCTTCTGATTCAAAGTGCTGCCTGACTCATGAGTTGTTCTTTGTTCAAGTAAACTTCATTAAATTTCTTGCTTCTAAAGTTTTTCTTTTAATAAGAGTGTAGTTTTTCTTTGTACTGTTCTTGCAATTTTCTCTATGTTTGAAATTACATCAAAATAAAAAGTAAAAAGAAAAAATCTTCAACTTGTTAAATGCTTTAAAAATGTTTCAAAATAAATTTTGTTAATGCTCTTTTTTCCATTATATCCTTCTCATTTTCCGTGTCTAGTTTAGCATGCTATCCTTGCTTATATAGTCTCTGTTAAGATTTTGGGGCAGGGGGCAGGTGCAGTGTCTTATGCCTATAATCCTAGCATTCTGGGAGGCTGAGGCAGGTGGATTGCTTGAGCTCAGGAGTTCCAGACCAGCCTAAGAATGAGACCCCATCTCTACTAAAAGTAGAAAAACTAACCTTGCATCATGGCAGGAACTTACAGTCTCAGTTACTTGGGAGGCTGAGGCAAGAAAATCACTTGAGCCCAGGAGTCAGAGGTTGCTATGAGCTATGAAATGACAACACTCTACCCTGGGTGACAGAGTGAGACTCTGTTTCAAAAAAAAAAAAAAAAAAAAGGCACTTACCATGTTCTACCCTGGTGGTGTGGAGCTATTTCTGAAATCTTATTTTCCTATATGCCCTTACGTCTTTTTTTTTTTTTAATGTCCTTACTTCTTGAACGTAGGAACTATTTCTATTTTTTGTGTCTCTTTTAAATTAAACATTCAGTAACTAAGTTGAAAAGAAGAATTTTCAACTTTATATTCATTAAGCATGAAAACAGAGCATGTATTAGATAATCACAACTGAGTTGTAACTAGCAGTCTGGGAGGCCAAGGCAGGAGGATTGCTTGAGCTTAGGATTTAGAGAATAGCTTGAGCAATGGTGAGACTGCATCTCTACTAAAATAAAATAAAATATTAGCCAAGTGTGGTGGTAAATACCTGTAATTCCCAGCTACTTGGGAGGCTGAGGTGGGAGGATCACTCTAGCTCAGGAATTTGAGACTGCTATGAGTTACAAGGATGCTACTACAGTCTACCCCAGATGACAAAGAGAGACTCTGTCTCAAAAAAAAAAAGTATTCTCTTTTTATGAAATGCTTTTATTGTAGAAAATTTGAAAAATTCAGAAAAGAAAAAAAATGTAAAGAGTTCAGAATTTTACCTACAACTCAGGAATATTAATGCTTATCTTTCTGAGTATTTCTTATGCAAATTGTTATTTTATTTTCTTTTTTGAGACAGAATCTCACTATGTTGCCCTCAGTAGAGTGCCATGGCATCACAGTTCACAGCAACCTCAAACTCTTGGGCTTAAGTGATTCTCTTGCCTCGGCCTCCCAAGTAGCTGGTACTACAGCTCCTGTCAAAACACCTGGCTATTTTTTTTGTTGTTGCAGTTGTTGTTGTTTAGCTGGCCCAGGCCGGGTTTGAACCTGCCAGCCTCCGTGTATGTGGCTGATGATGTAACCACTGTGCTACAGGCACCGAGCCTTATGCAAAAGTTTTAAATGCAAATTTATGCACACACACACACACATATATATTTTTACTACAAAACTAAGATTCAGGTGTACATACTGATGTGTAACATTAAAAGTTATGACAATTGGCTCGGCGCCTATAGCTCAACCGGCTAAGGCGCCAGCCACGTACACCTAAGGTGGCGGGTT